AACTTGGCACACAGTTCTCCCATGACCAACAGAAAATACTGGAAGGGTTTGGTGGGCAGTGTCCTTTGGTTTTGGAGTTGTAGTTCACCTACATCCAGAGCTCACTGTGGACTCAAACAATGATGGATCTGGACCAAACTCTACACGAATACTCAATATGCCCAAATGTGAACACTGGTGGAGTTTGGGGAAAATAGAATCTTGACATTTGAGAGTTGTAGTTGCTGGGATTTATAGTTCACCTACAATCACAGAGCATTCTGGACTTGGGCCAGACCTTCCACACAGAACCCCATGTGGGCCACAGCAACGTGTGGCAGGGGACGGCTAGTAATTTTATAAACTTGTTATACTGTTCAATTTCACAGTAATCACAAACAATATTATATGGGTTTTGGCTGCAAATATATATATATATGTTGTTCAATGGATATATTTGCAGCAAATGTTGGTGTATATGAGTGTTAACGTTTATAACTTTGCAAGTATCTTCAAATGTTAAATATATATATTTGCAGCAAATTTTACTGTATATAATAATTTTAGACCACCAGAGGAAGGCCTGGAGTAAGGCTGAAACTGGTTGTGGGCAACTGATTCATATTCAACTCAGCATAAGAAGACACGGCGTTGATACCATTTCAGAGTGATTGTACACTCTGAAGGTAACGGTGCTTCATGCAGTCATGCTGGCCACATGACCTTGGAGGTGTCTACGGACAACGTTGGCTCTTGGGCTTAGAAATGGAGATGAGCACCACCCTCCAGAGTCAGACAATGTCAGGGGAAACCTTTACTCATGTATAAGTCTAGAAAGTTTGGTTTAAAACCCCCCCAAAAAACTGGGTCAAAAGTGAGTAATGAGGGCTGACTTTTGTTTCCTCCCTTAGTCCTTTTTTGCTGAGCGGTTCTTTGCTTTGTTCGACTCGGACGGAAGCGGCACCATCAGCCTGGATGAGCTCTTGGAGGCCCTGAAGTTGCTGTTCCACGGAAGCGAAACAGACAAGCTCCGGTTCCTCTTCCATGTTTATGACGTGGATGGTAAAATCCCAACGACCACCTTCTCTGCGCCAGTATCGCAACCTTAGATTTTGCTTCTTCACAACCTTGTTGCTCTGCCCATCTCAAGACAGGAGCTGCTGGTGGTTGCTTATGTGCATGTTTTCATTGGGGTTCCTGGGCTGTATGTGCCATAACTCAGGGTTCTCAATAAATACTAAAACCCACCCACTCCAGTAACTATTTTCAGATGAAAATGACATGTAACTGAACAAAAAACCTGTCTTCCCCAAAACCTGCCCTTCACACAGTGTTTCTCAACCTTCCTAATGCCATGACACCTTAATACAGTTCCTCATGTTGTGGTGACGCCCAACCATAAAATTATTTTCGTTGCTTCATCATAAATTATAATGTAATATTATATATTGTATATACATATAATATTTATAATATTATAATGTAATGCAATATAATAACAATCATAATAATAATATGATATTATAATTATATGTTTATATTACATTTAATATTACTAACTAGCTGTTCCCTGCCAGGCGTTGCTGTGGCCCAGCCTGTTGATCTGGAAAATAAAGTAATGAGAAAGTGTTGGTTTCTAATATATGTAATGTCCTTTTTTTCTCTTTTTTTTTTTTTGTGCTTTGTATGGTTTTTATATTTTGTTTATATATGTACTAGCTGTCCCCTGCCACGCATTGCTGTGGCCCAGTCTTGATCTGGAAAATAAAGTAATGAGAAAGTGTTGGTTTCTCATATATGTAATTTCTTTATGCTTGTGGGTAAACAGTATTTCTTGCTGTTTCTTTGTCAGTGTTGATGTGGAGATTGTCTGGTTTGCCTACTCTGGAACATGCAACATATCATTGTCCTTCTTTAGGGGTCCCTTTCAAATCTATGATACTATATCTGTGTGTGTGTAAATCATATATATCTATCTATATCTATTGCTGGATGGCTCTTTGTCAGGAGGGCTTTGATTACATTTTCTTCACCTGATGAAGGGAGTTGGACTGGATGGCCTTAAGTATTTTCTGTTGGTCTGTGTGGGAAGTTTGCCCCAGTTCTGTCATTGGTGGGATTCAGGATGCTCTTTGATTATAGGAGAACTATAAATCCCAGTAACTACAACTCCCAAATGGCAAAGTCTATTTCCCCAATCTCCATCTGTGTGCATATTTGGGCATATGGAATATTTGTGCCAAGTTTTGTCCAGATCCATCATTGTTTGAGTCCACAGTGCTGTCTGGATATAGGTGAACTACAACTTCCAAACTCAAAGTCATGCCCACCAAATGCTTCCAGTGTTTTCCGTTGGTCATGGGAGTTCTGTGTGCCAAGTTTGGTTCAGTTCCATCATTGGTGGAGTTCAGAATGTTCTTTGATTGTAGGTGAACTATAAATCCCAGCAACTACAACTCCCAAATGACAAAATCAATTTTTTAGTGAAGGACATACATTGGGTTGTTAGGTGTCTTGTGTTCAAATTTGGTGGCAATTTGTCAGTGGTTTTTGAGTTCTGTTAATCCCACAAACGAACATTACATTTTTATTTATATAGATTTCATATTTTGTTATGATGTATTATAGTAATATATAATACTGATATTGTACTATGCTAATAATATAATATATTGTGTGTGTGTGTGTGTATATATATATATATATATATATATATATTGTAAGCCTCTATGAGTCCCCTTTGGGGTGAGAAGGGTGGAATATACATGTCATAAATAAATAAATAAATGTAATTTTGCTACTGTTATGAATCAGAATTTAAATATCTGATATGCAGGATGTATTTACATTCACTGGACCAAATTTGGCACAAATACCTGATATGCCCAAATTTGAATACTGGTGGGGTGGGGGTGGGGATCGATATTGTCATTTGGGAGTTGTAGTTGCCCTCAACCCCACCAGTATTCAAATTTGGGCATATTTGGTATTTGTGCCAAATTTGGTCCAGTGAATGAAAATACATCCTACATATCAGATATTTACATTATGATTCATAACATTAGCAAAATTACAGTTATGAAGTCGCAACAAAAATAATGTTGTGGTTGGGGGTCACCACAACATGAGGAACTGCATTAAGGGGTCGCAGCATTAGGAAGGTTGAGAGCCACCTTAGACAGAGTTTCCAGCCACAGCCTTTACCCCAGATGGATGCCACATGACCATGGTCCAGACCCCAGCCCTCTGTTGATAATTTTACCAGTATCCAATGGAAATCCTCCCTCTTTTGTCCTAGGCAGTGGATCTATTGAGCCTGGAGAGCTGCGCACGGTCTTGAAATCATGCCTGAAAGAGAGTTCGATCTCTTTGCCAGAGAAGACACTGGATGATCTCACGGCAGCCCTTTTTGAGTCAGCCGACTCTGACTGCAGCGGAGCCATAACCTTTGAGGAGCTCCAAGCGGAGCTGGAATATTTCCCTGAAGTCATGGAGAACTTAACCATCAGGTATAATGTCCTTACCGTTGTCTCCACACGCTCTAAACACCAATTTATCCCCAAAAGGACTCTTCTTGGTTATGTTTCAGTCTGAGAAAACTCTATCAGTCTGAGGTTTGTTGCCATAGACCAGTCATGGGCAAACTGTAGCCCTCTGGTTGTTTGGACTTCCACAATTTCTAACAGCCTCAGGCTCCTTCCTTTCCCCCCTCAGCCACTTAAGCTCGCTGCTTGAGTGGTGATGGCATGATCATCAGCATAGATGAAACTCTCTGTCCCTTCTGGCAGTGGCTGGTCATTTGTGTAGATGTTCAACATTGATGGAGCAAGCTTCGGTGAGCTTCTCTACAGCACTACTGGAGCCCCTTCCTTTTGCCACTCAGCCACTTAAGCTCCCTGCTTGAGCGGTGATGGCATGATCATCAGCATACATGAAACTCTCTGTCCCTTCTGGCAGTGGCTGATCATTCGTGTAGATGTTCAAGGAGTTTGCAATCTCACTATCTGCGAATGCAGCATTTGAATGCAGCATGCTATCAGTACTTCTGGGGCCCCTTCCTTTCCCCCCTCAGCCACTTAAGCTTCTTGCTTAAGCAGTGATGGCATGATCATCAGCATAGATTAAACTCTATGTCCCTTCTGGCAGTGGCTCATCATTTGTGTAGATGTTCAAGGAGTTTGCAATCTCACTATTGGCGAATGCAGCATGCTATCAGCGTTACTGGGGCCCCTTCCTTTCCCTCCTCAGCCACTTAAGCTCCCTGCTTGAGCAGTGATTGCATGATCATCAGTATAGATGAAACTCTCTGTCCCTTCTGGCACTGGCTGGTCATTCGTGTAGATGTTCAAGGAATTTGCAATCTCACCATGGGCAAATGCAGCATGCTATCAGCACTTCTGGGGCTCCTTCCTTTTCCCTCTCAGCCACTTAAGTTCCCTGCTTGAGCGGTGATGGCATGATCATCAGCATACATGATCCCTTTTTGCAGTGGCTCATCATTTGTGTAGATGTTCAAGTAGTTTGCAATCTCACTATCGGCAAATGCACCATGTTACCAGCACTTCTGAGGCCCCTTCCTTCCCCCCCTCAGCCACTTAAGCTCCCTGCTTGAGTGGTGATGGCATGATCATCAGCATAGATGAAATTCTCTGTCCCTTCTGGCAGTGGCTGGTCATTTGTTAAACGTTCAAGGAGTTAGCAGCATGCTATCAGCACTTCTTGGCAGATTTGATTTAAGTAACTAATACCATCTATCTAAAATGCGTCAGTGAGGGGCTCACGGTGTCTTATAGTACAGATATTAAAATGAACTGTGCACATTTGCAGTCAGTGCCACTTGGGGTGCATCTGCACCGTAGAATTAGTGCCATGGCTGAATGCTATGGAGTTGTAGTTTTACAAGGTCTTTCGCCAACAACCAGAGGGTGCTGATGCAAAACCATTGAGCCATGTCTGTTAGTGGTTCCAAACAGCAGGTAGTCGGTCAATGGATGCAACATCACATTGCCTTTTTCTTGCAGTGCTGCAAGCTGGTTAAAGCCCCCCACGACTCCCCAAAAGGACCACCTGCCGCGCTACCTTAGTCCGGCCTACTGGCACAACAATGGGAGCAAGCTGCTTTTCCTGGGCAGCTACCTGGCTGTGAACATCCTCCTGTTCACTTTGGCAGCATTGAAGCATGTCGGCTCCGGCGCTTGGATCATGCTGGCGAAAGGCTGTGGGCAGTGCCTGAACCTTAACTGCACCTTCCTAGTGGTGAGTAAATCATATAGTAGCCGAACTTCCCTTGGTCAGCTCTACCTATGACATGGTGTCCGCTACCTATACTTCTGCCAAGAAGTCACATCCAGCTATCCAGGCAGTCTGTGATATGGCAGAGGTGGGAGTGAAAGCTTTTGCAAGTAAATCATATGTATCTATTGCATAAAGTGCAAAGGTAGCCATGGTGGGTCAGGAAGACGTGAAGAAGGCAAGTGGGGCATAGCACCTTGTCTCCTGTGCTATGCTAATAATATAATATATTGTATGCATATAATATTTATAATATTATAATGTAATATGCAATATAATACTAATAATAATATGATATTATAATTATATATTTATATTACATGTAATATTACTAATAATATTACAATATAATGGGATAGTACTGTTCCGTCTTCCAGGAGCTTGGTTTGCATTGACCCTTAGTTGCTTGAAATAGCATCCCTTTGCATTTTCCCCAGGGTTGCTACAGGCTTAGCAGCACCCTAATAGTCAAACATTAACAGAGGCTGGAAGCCAGCCTGCAAGCCTTTTGCAGCTATTGGTTTAAAAAGTATCCTTTTGGTCTAGAGACCACCCTTTTTCCTGGGGATGAGATCTCCATTTTGGAAAAGCTCTCCTGCTTTCTTTAGTATAGAAAAAGCCTCAGATGTGCTGGTGGCCAAGCTAGGCAGCTCGGACAAGCCATTGTGAGTACGGTTAAGGTTACCCTCTCACCTTTGAAACTGGTGCTGAGCTCAGATAGAGAAAGACCTGCTCTTTCTAAAGGACAGTAGCTCAGTGCTGGGACAGGGAATATCTCCGGATTTCTCTGTCATTGAGAGAGGCTCCATTACTTCATCTCCAAAACTAATCTTGAGCTTAGATAGGGGAAGATCTGCTCTTTCTGAAAGATAACAGCTCAGGGTTAGGGTAAAAGATCCCAGGATTTTTCTACCATTGGGGATAAGTTAACTCGGTAACTGAAGGAAAAAGGAAAGAAAGAACATCTATATGGTTTCCCAAATTGACTGTTTGTGTTTGTAACTTCATCAAGCTGTGCCAAGTCTGTCAAGGACGTTGTAAAATAAATGTTCTGTTGATGTTCAAATCTGGACTGGCCTCAGTTGCTGAGAATCTGGAGCTTCTAAGAAAGACACCCACAGTTCGCCCAGATAAAGAGAGAAGCATATCTTAGTTTTAACTTTATAGTGTCTAATGGTATAGCACAATATAGTAATATTTAATACTGATATTGTACTATGCTAATAATATAATATAGTGTATATATAGCTTGTAAGCCGCTCTGAGTCCCCTTTGGGGTGAGAGGGGCGGCATATAAATGCCGTAAATAAATAAACAAATAGATAAATAAATCTACATGTTAGTATTAATTTCACAAAGTCTTTAGCCTTCTTTGCCAACGAGTGCTGGCATCTCCCCCATATTAACTTAAGTATTCTGTTAAATCAACAATCCATAATCTGTGATAATACATTCAACTATACTATTTTTTTATAACACTGTTATGTATCAGTGATGATTTTCCCATCCTGTTTTAATTAAGATGTTTGTCTTGTCCTTTTGGCATATTTGTTTACCTGCCCTAAAGTCATCTATTGATGTACTAGCTGTCCCCTGCCAGGCGTTGCTGTGGCCCAGTCTGGTGATCTGGAAAATAAAGTAGTGAGAAAGTGTTGGTTTCTAATATATGTAATGTATTTCTGCTTGTGGGTAAATAGTATTTCTTGTTGTTTCTTGGTCAGTGTTGATGTGGAGATTGTCTGGTTTGCCTACTCTGGAACATGCGACATATAATTGTCCTTCTTTAGGGGTCCGTTTAAAATCTATGACACTATATCTGTGAGTGTGTAAATCATATCTATCTCTCTATATCTATGGCTGGATGGCTCTTTGTCAGGAGCCTTTGATTATGTTTTCTTGCCCTGCTGAAGGGAGATGGCCTTAAGTATTTTCTGTTGGTCATGGGGGTTCTGTGTGGGAAGTTTGCTCCAATTGTTTGAGTCCACTGGTGAATTACAACTCCAAAACTCAAGGTCAATGCCCACCAAACACTTCCAGTGTTTTCTGTTGGTCATGGGAGTACTGTATGCCAAGTTTGGTTCAATTCCATCGTTGGTGGAGTTCAGAATGCTCATTGATTGTAGATGAACTATAAATCCCAGCAACTACAACTCCCAAATGTCAAGGTCTATTTACCCCAAACTCCAACAGTGTTCACATTTGGGCATATTAAGTATTTGTGCCAAGTTTGGTCCAGATCCATCCTAGCTTGAGTCTCTGGATGTAGGTGAACTACAACTCCAAAACTCAAAGTCAATGCCCGCCAAACCTTTCCAGTATTTTCTGTTGGTCAAGGGAGTTCTGTGTGCCAAGTTTGGTTCAGTTCCATCATTGGCGGAGTTCAGAATGCTCTTTGATTGTAGGTGACCTATAAATCCCAGGAATTTAGTAAATGTGATGACGTTTACCCTATGAAAGTGTTTGGGCATGTTGTAAAATGTATATCTGGTGCTGGTGGGGCAATGGTTAGTAAGAATGTCAACCTGTCCTCCATTTTGCCTCCAAGGTGTTGATGTTGCGCCGATGCCTGACCTGGTTGAGGACTACTTGGGTGGCCAAAGTTCTTCCGCTTGATCAGAGTGTCCTTCTCCATCAGCTGATCGGCTGCTCCGTGGCAGCCTTGAGCATCCTTCACACAGGGGCTCACGTGGCTAACTTTGGTGAGTGCCTCTTTCTACTGAGGATGTCTTTTGCTGATTTTCAGGTGTATTTCCAAAACATTGGCCTCCCCTTTCCTCCCTCACCAATACACTTTTTAATACGTTTTTTATTACTATCTCACCCAGGGTTTTAACATTTTATCTTGTGCATTTGGCCCAATTTTTGTTATGTTATTTTGCATTGCTTATTTTATTCTGTTACTTTGTGTATTTTTGTTGTGATGTAATTTTTCTTTATTTTTGTGTCTAACTTTGCTGTCATATTTTTGGGCTTGGCCTCATGTTAGCCACCCAGAGTCTCCTTTGTGGAGATGGTTGCGGGGTATAAATAAAGCCAGGCCTTCAAATGCTAATGAAGGTGGTCAGTTGAAACATTCACACCAGCTCCAGCAGAGAAGAGCTCTTTGCCCCACCCCAGCCATTCCACAGATATATAAACCCATTTTCCTAATTCCAACAGACCTCACTACCTCTGAGGATGCTTGCCATAGATGCAGGCGAAACGTCAGGAGAAAATGCCTCTAGAACATGGCCATATAGCCTGAAAAAACCCACAAGAACCTAGTGATTCCAGCCATGAAAGCCTTCGACAATCAAAAATTTATTATTATTATTATTATTATTATTGATGCAAAAGCACTGTATGTCACAACAAACGGGACCTATATGCTGGATTTCGTATCACAAAATCACAAGTCGAACACTTCCCAAGCGTCTAGGACTGTGTGATGTATTTCCGAATGCTAGGCCTGGGTAACAACGGAAAAATTTGTTTCTAAAATCGATTCGTTTTTGGGGGGTTTTGCGTTTCGATTTTTAAAAGAATTCCGAAATTTTTCTTTTAAAAAGTTCGATATTTACGAAATTTCGTAAATGTAAAAAAATTACGAAACATTAACGAAACAAATACGAAACAATAACGAATCGATTCGTTAATGGCGGACGCGACCGCGCAATACGCTAAAAAACCTCCAAATGGGACAGGGGGAACTTCTGAAGCTTCCCTCTCCCTCTGTTGTTGACTCTTGGTGTGATATTATATATTTTTTTCACTAATTAAACAAAAAACAACTATAAAACTTGCCCCAGACATGCGGAAATAATAACGAAACGACCTCAAACCGATAACGAAACGAATACATAACGAATCCGAAGCATTTACGAAACGAATTGAAAAATTCGTTTCGTTTTTAAGTTGCTCCAGAATGGTTCGTTATCGCTTCGTTATAAAAAAAGAATAACGAATTTTTAACAAATTACGAATTAACGAAACGAAACCGCCCAGCCCTAGTATTTTCAAATGATGCGCGCAGGTCCAAGTCAGGTGGCATTTTGCAGCTGACAGATCATGATTTTGTCGATGTTTATTGTTTCCAAATGCCGGCTGAGATCCTTTTGGCACGGCACCCAGTGTGCCATTGACCACTGGACCACATGTACTGGTTTATGCCAGAGCCTTTGCAGTCTATTTCACAGTCAAGCAGCTCATACCATCAGGAAGCTGCTTTTAATATTTATATGCAATCTCCCTCTGCTGCAGTGAGGCTGTCTCAGACCAACAGCACCTTCTACCTCTGGGAACATCTCTTCACCACACGGCCCGGGATCGGCTGGGTTTATGGAACTGCTTCCATCACCGGCCTGGCTCTGCAGCTCCTCCTTGGCCTCATGTCCGTATGCTCCAGCACCTTTGTCCGCAAGAGCGGCCACTTTGAGGTAAAGTTCATTATATACTGTATATACTCGAGTATAAGCCGAGTTTGTCAGCTTTTGCTTTAGGTTGAAAGAGCCCCCCTCGCCTTATTCACAAGTCAAAGTTATTTGTTATTTTACTCTGTTATTATTGTTACTTATATACTCAAGTATAAGCCGACCCGAATATAAGCCAAGGCATTATTGCTTTGCTTGGCTATCGGAATATCTGTGCATGATGAGTACTCAGGATGCTGATGCCTGAAATGAAAGCACACAGACTTGAAACTTCAGAGACTGGATCTCACCACCGTACGACATCCTCCACACAGTCCAGATTTAGCACCGCCTGACTTCCATCTGTTCCCGATAATAAAAGAAGATCTGCGGGGACATCATGATGCTTCTGATGAAGACGTTGAGAGAACTGTGAGACACTGGTTGCAGAAATAGTGTCGACTTCTTCTGTGACGGCTTCAGAAAACTTGTTCATTGTTGGCAGAAATGTATCCAATTGTCTGGTGATTATGTGGAAAAGTGAATAGTGGGAGTTAAAGAGCACATTCTAAGGATTATTTCTGTGTTTGATTTATTAAAATATTCCCATCCAAACCCAAGTAACGAAGGTGGAGGCATTACTTTTCATTCAACCCTCATAGTTTACATCTTTGGTGTGTCTTCTAGATCCAGGACAACCCTTCCCAAACTTTCCTTTCTCTTTCCTATGTGATCCTCCTCTCTGCAACCTGCAGGTCTTCTACTGGACCCACCTCTCTTATGTCTTCATCTGGGCTTTATTAATTGTCCACGGACCCAATTTCTGGAAGTGGTTTTCTGTGCCTGGATGTCTGTTCCTTGTGGAGAAGATCTTTGGGGCGGCCTTGTCCCGCACTAGGAGGCTCTACATTGTGGAAATCAACCTCTTGCCCTCAAAGGTTTGTTCTCTGGAAAAAATGCATATCTACCAGAATAAAGATTCCATCTAAACATTAGGAAGAGCTCTTCAACATGGGATTTTGTGGCTATCTGGAAATTTAGAGATTTTTAAGCAAAGTCTAGGTGGCCATCTATCAGGAATGCTTTGATTGTGTTTCCTTGATGGCCCAACTGTGATTCTTTAAGACTCCGAAACAAAATTTGAAAAATTTTCTGTCCTTGGTTTGAAAGTGCTGCTTCCTGTTTAATTGTGTGGTACTTACTTTTAAAGTACGGTAGTTGTTATACTCCAGAAACATGGTTTTTATTTTTTATCCTTCTATTGCCTGAAGCGCAAAAATTTGTGAGGGCTCTTCTCCACTGCCATATAATCCAGATTTTCAAATCAGATGTGTGCTGTCACACGCTGGGCCTGTGAAAGAGTCTGTAGACAGGATGTGTTTTCTGAATGCCCAACGGGACGCCGGGGGTGCCTCGGCTGAGAGGCCTTTCGGATTTCTCCACACAAAGTTCTTTTAAAGTTCAACAAAGTTTTTATTGTTACTTAAATCTTCAATAAATCAAACAAATACTTCAAGGCTTTGAATCAACTGGTGGCTTGCTTAAATCTTGTCCACAAGGGACAGGCAACTTCCTTCATAAACTGTTTCTTCCTTCTACAAGGGAAATCCTTCACCTCTCCCTGGGCAATCTGTATTAGGCTCTGTTGGCGTGGGCCCCTACACCCAGTCCAAATTGCGTTATGGCCGCCACGTGTGGTCCTTACCGAACAGAGTCCTTTTGTAGATTTCCAAGAGGAAAGAAGGTCTTCAATTCCCAGCGAAGGCTGGCTGTATAGCTGTGGGACTAATTCCCCAACAAGGGCTATGCTGTAGTTCTCTGTAGAGCTATGGGACTGGATCCCCCCAGCAAAGCTGTAAAAGGCGAAGCTTTCTACAGGTGGAACTGATTCATGTCCTGTACGAAAGGCTTCTCTGTGTGAACTGAACTAGAGGTCCCCTTTTCCCCTCCTTAACCCAGAAAAAGGGGCGGAACTAAAGAACATAATGATAATTGATGGGTCATTGGCCCTATTATTGCAAACCAAGGGAAGCCACCTTATTGCAAAATGCATGGAACTTTGGAATATATGCAAACACTCAATAGAAAGGAAAAGAAGTTGGAGCTCCTGGTACAGCCCTACCAGCACAGGATGATCCCCATCCACTTTTTGAACTGGATTATATGAATAAAGTTTTATTATTATTATGTTTTGTCATATGTCTATTATAACAGGCTCTGCTTTTAATTTAATTTTAGTTTGTTAAGTTATAATTCGTATCTATATTTTGGGCTGTATACATTTTGTTAGTATGGATGTATTGTTGTCGTATTTGGGCATTGAATGCTTGCCTTTTGTGTTGGGAATTCAGTCTGAGTCCTTTTGGGGAGATAGAGTGGAATAATAAATTTTTATCATTATTACTAGCTGTACATGCCACGCATTGCTGTGGCCAACCTTCCCCTTCTCTTTCTCTCCTTTCTTTCTCTTCTTCCTTCCCTCCCTCTTTTTCTTTCCCTTCTTCTTTCTTCCTTCTCTAGCTGTTTCTTTCCTCGCTTCCATTGCTCTTTGGTTCCATCTTTCCTTGTTTCTTTCCTTCCTTCCCTCCATCCTTCTCTCTTTCGGTTCTTCTCTCCTTCCTTCCCTCTCTCCTTCCTTCCTTCTTTCACTGTTTTATTTCCTTCTCTCCTTCCTTCCTTCCTTCCTTCCTTCCTTCCTTCCTTCCTTCCTTCCTTCCTTCCTTCCCTCCTTCTTTACCTTTCTTTCATTCCTTCTTTCCCTCTTTCTCTCCCTCCTTCCCTCCCTCCTTCCTTCCTTCCTTCCTTCCTTCCCCCTGTGTATATGTTTTGTGTGTGTATATATGCATATATGTGTGTATATATTTGTGTATATGTGTATATATGTGTGTTTGTGTATATATGTGGTTTTGGACATGTGTTGTAATGTATTTTTTCCTTTAAAGTCCCTTCTGGTGTGTTTTCCAGTGTTTTTTCATGAGTGATGGTCACTTGTTGGCCTGATAGGTCAATAATTGAACCAAACGTGGCATACAGAACTCCCATGGCCAACAGAAAATACTGGAAGGCTTTCGTGGGCATTGATCTTGAGTTTGGGAGTTGTAGCTCACCTCCATCCAGACAACACTGTGGATTCAAACAACAATGAATCTGGACCAATCTTGGCACAAATATTAAATATGCCCAAATCTGAACACTGGTGGAGTTTGGGGAAAATAGACCTTGACATTTGGGAGTTGTTGCTGGGATTTATAGTTCACTTACAATCAAAGAGCATTCTGAACTCCCTCAATGATGGAATTGAACCAAACTTGGCACACAGAACGCACATGATCAACAGAAAATCCTGGAAGGGTTTAGTGGACATTGACCTTGAGTTTTGGAATTGTAGTTCACCTACATCCAGAGACTCAAGCTAGGATGGATCTGGACCAAACTTTGCACAAATACTCAATGTGCCCAAAATGTGGACACTGGTGAAGTTTGGAGAAAATAGACCTTGACATTTGGGAATTATTGTCCTTGCTGGGATTTATAGTTCACTTACAATCAAAGAGCAATCTGAACCGCATCAACTGTAGAATTGGGCCAAACTTCCTACACGGAGCCCCCATGACCAACAGAAAATACTGTGTTTTTTTGATGGTCTCTGGCGACCCCCTTGACACCCCCTCACGACCCCCCCCCAGGGGTCCTGACCCCAGGTTGAGAAACGCTGATCTTCATGTATCCAGCTGCAAAGTAGCTCGGCCCCTGCCTTCCTCCATCCTTCCCCATCCAGCATCCACTAAACACTAAATGTGGGAGCCAGAGCCAAGAAGAGAAGGTTTGGACTGGCTGATGCTTGTGGTCTCTTCCAACACTATAATTCTATATATTTGGAGTGGGACACACGTAGAAATGGGGTACACTTTGCAGAACTTGATGTTGTAGGACATCAGCCATAGCTTGACTCCATCACCCTTCTTCAAAGTTTGGCTGCCTTTCTTTCCACTGTCTTTAAGTGCAGGTGACCCACTTGGTGATCCAGAGACCCCCGTTTTTCCACTACAAGCCTGGCGACTATGTGTACCTAAATATCCCAGCTATAGCCAAGTACGAATGGCACCCGTTCACCATCAGCAGTGCCCCGGAGCAACCAGGTGGGTGGCCACACAGAAAGCAACCCGAATTGGATCATTTCTACATGTCTACCATCCCAAAAAAGGGGAGGAAATGGATGAGGGGAGGTTGCATATGGCTATTTTTCCCTCCCCATTAAAAAAAATAATTTGGTACAATTTTGATGTGAAATCGGCACCAAATAGTACCCTGGGTTCTCTCAAAGCATGACAAAACTCTCTTGGCATAAGAAAACATCACAAATATTTATTTATTTATGACATTTATATGCCGCCCTTCTCACCCCGAAGAGGGCTCAGAGCGGCTTACAAGAGATATATATACATACAATATATTATATTATTAGCATAGTACAATATCAGTATTATATATTACCATATGGTACTATACCATTATTTTGTAATATTGTTAGTAATATTGCATGTAATATAAAATATATAATTATAATATCATATTATTAATATTAATATTATGTTGTATTACATTATAATATTATACCTTTTGTTCCATCCAATGCCCTATCATAATAGCAGGAAATAGTGATGCAATGTCCCTTCCTGGCAACATTTTGGAAACAGAGGGAAAACAGGCATGTTACACTAGAGCATTGTTTCTCAACCTTCCTAATGCCGCAACCCCTTAATACAGTTCCACATGTTGTGGTGGGCCCCCAACTATAAAATTATTTTCGTTGCTACTTCATAACTGTAATTTTGCTATTATTATAGATCATAATGTAAATATCTGATATGCAGGATGTATTTTCATGCACTGGACCAAATTTGGCATAAATAACCAATACGCCCAAATTTGAATACTGGTGGGCTTGGGTGTGGATTAATTTTGTCATTTGGGAGTTGTAGTTGTTGGGATTTATAGTTCACCTACAATCAAAGAGCATTCTGAACTCCAACAACGATGGAAGTGAACCAAACTTGGCACACAGAACTCCCATGGCCAATAGAAAACACTGGAAGGTTTTAGTGGGCATAGACCTTGAGTTTTGGAATTGTAGTTCACCTACAGTCAGAGACTCAGGCTAGGATGGATCTGGACCAAACTGCACAAATACTCAATATGCCCAAATGTGGACACTGGTGAAGTTTGGAGAAAATAGACCTTGACATTTGGGAGTTGTTGTTGCTGGGATTTATAGTTCACTTACAATCAAAGAGCATTCTGAACCGCATCAACTGTAGAATTGGACCAAATTTCTCACACAGAACCCCCATGACCAAGAGAAAATACTGTGTTTTTCTGATGGTCTCTGGTGACCCCATTGACACCCCCATTCTGAACTCCCCCAGTGATGGAATTGAACCAGACTTGGCACACAGTACTCTCATGACCAACAGAAAACACTAGAAGGGTTTGGTGGGCATTGACGTTGAGTTTTGGAGTTGTAGTTCACCTATAGCCAGAGAGCACTGTGGACGCAAACAATATTGTATCTGGACCAAACTTGACACAAATACTCAACATGCCCAAATGTGAAAACAGGCCATGACATTTGGGAGTTGTAGTTGCTGGGATTTATAGTTCACCTACAACCAGGTCATTCTGAACTCCCCAGGGATGGAATTGGACCAGTCTTGGCACACAGAACTCCCATGACCAACAGAAAATACTGAAAGGGTTTGGTAGGTGTTGACTTCAAATTTTGAAGTTGTAATTCACCTACATCCAGAGAGCACTGTGCACTCAAACAATATTGGATCTGGACCAAACTTGGCACAAATACTCAATATGCCCAAATGTGAACACTAGTGGAGTTCGGGGAAAATAGGCATTGACATTTGGGAGTTGTCATTGCTGGTATTTATAGTTCACCTACAATCAAAGAGCATTCTGTTCTCTCACAACGATGGAATTGAACCAGACTTGGTACACAGAACTCACACGACCAACAGAAAACACTAGAAGGGTTTGCTGGGCATTGACCTTGAATTTTGGAGTTGTAGTTCACCTACATCCAGAGAGCACTGTGGATGCAAACAATACTGGATCTGGACAAAACTTGGCACAAATACTCAATATGCCCAAATGTGAATACTGGTGGAGTTTGGGGAAAATAGGCCTTGATATTTGGGAGTTGTCATTGATGGGATTTATAGTTCACCTACAATTAAAGAACATTCTAAACCCCACCAATGATAGAGTTGGGCCAAACTTCCCACACACAACCCCCATAACTAATAGAAAATACTGTGTTTTCCGATGGTTTTTGCCAACCCCTCTAACCCCCCCCCCCTTTGTCCCAACCCCCAGGTTGATAAACACTGCACTAGAGTAACTATGCCATGGTAAGGGATGCCAGCAAGAGGGGAATGGCTTAGAGTGTCAGGAACCTCCCAATTGAAGGACCCAGAAAAGTGCCCCTTCACTGCTCTGTACTCTTCTCTATCTCTCTTTCTTCTTTCTTCTCTCTCTCCAAAGGGACCATCTGGCTCCATATTCGGTCCCTGGGACAATGGACCAACCAATTGTATGAATACTTCTGGCACCAAGACGACCTTCGTGACTATGAACGTGCCACAAAGCAACAGAACAAAAACAGCTCCAAGAAATTGGAAAAGGTTTGCTGTTTAAAATGGAAATCATCATTAATAATACTTTATTTATACCCCGCCACTATCTCCCCAAGGGGACTCGGAACAGCTTACATGAGGCCAAATCCAGCAATACAACAATGCAAGTATACAACATAAAAATACAACAATAACATATATAAAACAAGATAGAATACAAGAAACAGTAAAATAAACACACCAGAACAATATAAAATCACAATATTTGAACACGGAAAGTTGGTGCTACTATAATTAATAATTAATTAATGTTATTAATTAAGTAATATTATCAATTATTAATTAATATTATTTTTATTTATTTATTAATATTATTAATTATTAATTAATCAATATTATTAATTATTATTAATGCTATAGTATACACCAGTGGTTCTCAATCTGTGGGTCCCCAGATGGTTTTGGCCATCAACTCCCAGAAAAACAAGTTAGTAAACTGGCTGGGATTTCTGGGAGTTGTAGGCCAAAACATTTGGGCATTCACAGGTTGAGAACTGTGATGATTCTTACTTTGTAGGCCAAAGTAGGAGCCTGAGATGTCAGTAAGCAGGCCTCCATTTTGGGAGTGTAAGCGAGGGAGGCAGACATCTTGGGAGTGTAAGAGTAGAAGAGGGGAGGAGCTGGAGCTCTCTCTGGATTGGTTAGGGCAGATGGGAGGAGTTGAGCCCTGAGACGGAAAAAGTGTCTGCTTAGAGTGTAGCTAATTACTAGGTCAGGTTTGTCTGGGGAACTCACTGCTACTGTGTCAGGGTAGAGTGAGGAGTCTTACTCAGATCTAAGTTAAGAAACCTGTTTAAGTAACCATTAAGAATATTGTGCTTCAGTAACCATTCAAGCTTGTGTGCCTCATTAAAGAAGATAGTTGTTTGTTCTGTATTATCAATAAACATATTATCCAGTTCAACATTTAAAGAAGACTCAGTAGTGATTCATCTTGTGAGAATAATTCCAGTGGTTTTTAACATCTTTACATCACAGCCATTTCAGGGAGCCAAAGGGAGAGCTGGTGGGCAGGAAGGGATTTACCTCAGGGACAACATCTTTAATATTCCCAAATATTTTTGGGTGGTGGCAGCAACTCTACCAATGTATACACGTTACCTCAACATACATCTAAACGCTCTGTGCCAAGAAGCATATTCCAACAGATTGGTGTCCAGTGGCGAGATTTATTTTGAGATATCAAAATTCTTTAAAGTGGTGTACAGCTTTGGGATTAATAATCTATAATCCTTTAGAGCGGTGCCAAGGTATAATATAGGATCCTTTATAACTGGTGGCAAGATATGATACGTTTCTTTAAAAGAACCATTGGTATAGACACATCCTATGGCAGACTTGTCCAGGGAAACAATATCTGTTAAGGGAGCCATAAATTGGACCTTGTATGGTCACCACGACATTCCCGGTAACTTTTATTTCAGAAATGCCTCTTTGGTTCCTCTGACGTGGAACAGCCTGTGGCCAACAGCGAAGATGAGATGGTGGAGATCTTATCCTACAGGAGCATTGACTCTCCCAGTGGAAGGACTTCAAATGAGGAGGTGAAGCAGATTTATATGGACAACATATACAGTGGGGAGTGTGTCTACACCAGGGATGGGCACACTTTGGCCCTCCAGGTGTTTTGGACTGGCTGTGCAGACCAGGTTGTGGCACAGCTAGTTAGTAGCCGGCTGCATTAAATCGCTACTGCCCAAGAGGTCATGAGTTCAAAGCCAGCCCGGGTCAGAGTAAGCTCCCTACCATTAATAGTCTAGCTTGCTGTTGACCTATGCAGCCCGAAAGACAGTTGCACCTGTCAAGTAGGAAATTTAGGTACCACTTTATGCAGGGAGGTTAATTTAACTAATCTACGAGMCCATAAAACCTTCCAGCAGCGTGCAGAAGAATGAGGAAGTACTCCRRCAAAGGACTTGGTGTCACAAGTGGACGGTGAAGCAGCAGCTCCCCCTGTGGCTGGAACCAAGCATACCCTCATGAAGCCAGAAAAGCTGGAATGTTAAATTGCCTCTGTGTCTATATATGTTTGTCATGTATAAGTGCATTGTAATCCGCCCTGAGTCCCCTGCAGGGTGAGAAGAACAGAATATAAATACTGTAAATATATAAATAAATAAATAAATAAATAAATAAATAAATAAATACTGTAAATAAATACTGTAAATAAGTGCAGATTGACTCCATTTGAACTGCCATGACTCAAATGCTGTGGAACTTTGAACTGCATTATTGGCCAGTGTAGATCTAGCCTTCTTCTGAGGGTAAATAATTGCCCAGTGGGTAGATATTTGGTAGCTATAATGGCACTCCATGCAGTCATGCCGGCCACATGACCTTGGAGGTGTCTACGGACAATGACAGCTCTTCGGCTTAGAAATGGAAATGAGTACCAACCCCCAGGGTCAGACACAACTAGACTTAACCTTTATTGATTGATTGATAGATTGACTTACTGTATTTGTATACCACCTTTCTCAGCCCGTAGGCAACTCAAGGCGGTTAACAGGGCAAAATTCAATGCTTATGATATCAAGAAGGAATTTAGTGGCTCTCGCCCTGGAGGGTGAGAGTCCACAGACCTAACAAGGAGGGCCCGCTACTTTGGTGAGTGAAAAAGAAGTCACGCAATATGGAATTTCCCTGATTTCCCAAATAAATCTCACCAAAGTTGAAGAAAACACCACCAAGTTGCTTTATTGCAATCCAGCTGGAAAGGATGCAAAGCCGTGATATTTCGTCAGGCAAGCATACATTCAATACAAAGCTGTGCCATTTTATAGAAAATACAGAGCTGTAGATTTCAAATTCCCCGCCGCCCACCCATCAGCCAGCTTGGTGCTGATTGGCTGGGGTGCTTAACAAGTGGGAGGAGGCTTGGTTGCCTCTAGTGCACTTCAGCCAATCAGCGAGGTGCTGTCGCCTCAGTCCTGGCCAATCAGGAGAAGGGGAGGCAGGATGAGCGAAGCTAAGGAAGGGATGAATGGATTAATTGTTCTTGGATCCGGATTTTTCCTGCAACTGGCCTTGGAAACAATAAGCGTGATTTGTGTGGGAGTTTCGGTATAGAAGTAAACAAAGGATGAAGCAACTGGGGACTTGTTTGTTCCTAGTGTCCTGATGGGATTAACCAGATGGATGTATGCCCCAAGAGGTCCAGCTCCGAGGCTTGGGGCATATTTCCTTTATATTGTCCATGCAAGTAGTTTCTTTCAGGATCCCTTTCAATCAAAGGATTATCTTTTCAGAGGAATGTGAAGTTTTCCCTAAGGCTTTGGGTGCTGGGGTCACAAAGAGTGGCATTTCATATTTCATATGAGGGGTATGGGGAAGGGGAAACATGCAAGGGAATCATATGATGGTACATTCATATAAAGAGAAAGAGCCCATCTCCACCTCCCCCCACCCACCAAAGTCCATTGGGAATTCATAAAGCCATTTTGGGAGCCCATGGGGCTGGGGAGATGAACACATTTTTAAAAGTCCAAAGGTTCATGAGGCTTGAAAAGGTAAAGTTTCCAAAAAGTTTCTAAGAGTCCTTCAGAAGGGAAAAAAGTCCCATAAAAGTTCAAGAGAGTACATAATTGTAAAGGGAGGTGGTTTCTTAGTAATAAATGTGTTACCTTCTGCTATATATGAAGGCCCTGTCTCTCGTCCTTGCCAAACTTACTTGTGATGAAGGCGATAACAAGAGCAGGGCCTCCCCAGATGATCTTAAGGTCCTAGATGGTTCATAAGGGGAGATGCGTTCAGACATGTAAGTTGGGCCAGAACCTTTACCTTTACCTATAGTTTTATACTTTTGCTACCACTTCTCTTTGTCCAACAGGTTTCTGAAAACACTTGCAAGAATCAGAGACTCTGTCACATCAAGGTAAAACCTACTGCTTGCTTCACCACACCTGAATGTTGGCCATCTATGTTTAGTGGCCATGTCTCCACAGTTTCAGGGAAGCCCATTTTTCTTTTTGGAGGGACGCGGTCACTGCCATTTTTGAGCTCCCCACATCATATGCGACAACTAGGGCTGGGCGGTTTCGTTTCGTTAATTCGTAATTCGTTAAAAATTCGTTATTTTTTTATAACGAAGCGATAACGAACCATTCTGGAGCAACTTAAAAATGAAACGAATTTTTAAATTCGTTTCGTAAATGCTTCGGATTCGTTATGTATTCGTTTCGTTATCGGTTTGAGGTCGTTTCGTTATTATTTCCGCATGTCTGGGGCAAGTTTTATAGTTGTTTTTTGTTTAATTAGTGAAAAAAAATTATAATATCACACCAACAGTCAACAACAGAGGGAGAGGGAAGCTTCAGAAGTTCCCCCTGTCCCATTTGGAGGTTTTTTAGCGTATTGCGTGGTCGCGTCCGCCATTAATGAATCGATTCGTTATTGTTTCGTATTTGTTTCATTAATGTTTCGTAATTTTTTTAACATTTACGAAATTTCGTAAATATCGAACTTTTTAAAAGAAAAATTTCGGAATTCTTTTAAATATCGAAACGCAAAAACACCCCAAAAAACGAATCGATTTTAGAAACAAATTTTTCCGTTGTTACCCAGGCCTAGCGACAACCACAGATTCTCCAATCCAGATTCGAAGTTTCAGCACCTGCTCTATAAGATGACTCCTGGCATATAAATTGACTCCAGCATATAAGATGATAACTCCTGACTTTTGAGAAGATTTTCTTGGGTTAAAAAGTAGTCTTATACACCAGAAAATACGTTTAATATGTATAAATAAAAATATATAGATGCATTTTCCCCCTGAATTCTGTTTTTAGAGGTTGTGGGAGGGACTACAGACCATGTAACCCTGATTTTAGAATGTTCAGAGTGAGACTCAATTTTAGAAGGAGTTTGACTCAAAAGTCAGTGAGAGTCAGTTAAGTCAGTTAGAGGTCAGTTGAGGTTTGAGTCAGCTGGAAATTAGGAGTCAGTGAAGTCTGTTGATGTCAGTTAGAGCAGAAGTATAGTCATTCTGCTGCAGTGAGATGTTAGTTAATATATGTGTGCTGGTACGGCTGTACCAGGAGCTCCAACTTCTTTTCCTTTCTATTGAGTGTTTGCATGTAGTCCAAAATTCCATGCATTTTGCAATAAGGTGGCTTCCTTTGGTTTGCAATCATAGGGCCAATGGCCCATCAATTATCATTATGTTCTTTAGTTCCGCCCCTTTTTCTGGGTTAAGGAGGGAAAAAGGGGACCTTTAGCTCAGTTATCATGGAGAAGCCTTTCCAACAGGATGTGTGAGATTCTCCCACCTGTAGAAAGCTTTGTTTCTCACAAACTTCAGGGGAAAGGAGTTCCACTGCTTTACTAAGAAATACAGCCAGCTTTGCTGGAAGGTAAAGGACACCAGCTGGAAAATCTACAAAGTCTTAGCCGGTAAGGTCTACTCAGGTTACCCATAAAGCAAATTGGAACCGGGAGTAGGGCCCCACGCCAGCCTAAGAACAGATTGCCCAGAGAAGGGTCGAGGATTTCCTTTATAGAAGAAAGAAATAGTTCTTGAAGCAAGTTGCCTGACCCTTGTGAGCAGATTAAGAAAGCTACCAGTTTCCAAAGTTTTAAAGTATTTGATTTGTTGACGATTTAAGCATTAATAAAGAACCTTGTTAAACTTACTAAGCTTCTAAAGACTTTGTATAGGGAAATCCATAGGGCCTCTCAGCCGAGGCACCTCAGACGTCCCGCTGGGCATATAGAGACCACGTCCTGTTAATAGACAATTGCTACAGGCCCAGTGTGTGACAGCACAATATGAGTCTGTTTTCTCACCTCCAGTCTGCAAGGAAGTGTCATAATATGACAATCAAACCAATCAGCATTATGTTGTTTTCTTCAGTGTTACATTGATGGTCCTTATGGCACTCCCACACGGAGGATCTTCACCTCGGAGCATGCAGTGTTGATTGGTGCAGGGATTGGAATCACTCCTTTTGCCTCTATCTTGCAAAGCATCATGTTCAGGTTGGTCTGCGGCCAGCACTTTTTGGAGCACGTCTACATTGCAGAAGGAATGCTGCTTAACCCCACTTAATTTATTTATTTGCTATATTTATACCCCACCCTTCTCACCCCTGAGGGGGGACTCAGGGCAGCCTCACAAATTTATTTATTTATTTATCTATTTATTTGCAGCATTCATATGCCGCCCTTCTCACCTTGAAGGGGACTCAGAGCGGTTTACAAGTAAAAAGTAAATACAATATATTATATTTTTACCATAGCACAATATTAATATTATATAATACATTGTACTATAACATTATACTGTAATATTATTGGTAATATTACATTTAATATAAATTATATGTGCTGGCACAGCAGTGTGAGGAGATTTGAATTTCTTTTTCTTGCACTGCTAGTTTGTATGCATTTATTTAAGCCATGCTTTTTGCAATCAAGTAGCTTCCCCAGGTTGCAGTCATAGGGCCAGCAACTGGCAATCATCGTTAGAGTCTTTAGACCCACCCCTTTTCCCAGGGTTTTGGAGGCAAAGGAGGACCTTTGTTCAGTCTCACTGTTTGAAGCCTAACAGCAGGACAGGTGGGATTCTCTTTCCCACCCGCACAAAGGCTTCACTTCTCACAGCTCTGGCGGGGGGAGTAAAGGGATAGTCCCACAGATTTTGCTGGGGGAATACAGCCAGCCTTTTCTGGGGCAGCCGGACAGTTCCTACAGCCTTTGTGGAGTAAAACTAAAGGACACCTTTCAGCTTGGCAGATCTACAGCAACCATTGTCTGGTAAAGGACCACTTGGTCTATCCATAAAGCATCTTGGAGCCGGGAGTAGGGATCTCACGCCAGCAAGGTAAAGAAAGATTGCCCAGGGAGGGGTCAGAAGATTTCCCTAAGGAAGAAAGGAACAGTTTACCACCAGTTGCCTGCCCTTGATAGCAGATTGAGGAAGCCACCAGTTTTCCAAGGTTATGAAGTATTTAATTCATTTGTTTGAAGATTTAAGCCCAAATAAAGAACTTTGTTGAACTTATTTTGAGCCTCAATAGATCTTTGTGTTGGGAAATCTAAGGGGCCCTTCAGCTGAGGCACCCCGGTGTCCCGTTGGGCATACAGAAGGCATGTCCTGTAAACAGACATTATTTCATGCCCAGCGTGCAACAGCACAATATATAATTAAAATATCATATTATTATTAGTAGTAGTATTATATTGTATTACATTATAATATTATCAATATTATATGTATATAATGCAAAAGCACCATATGGTGTCATCATCACAAAACAATCAACAGTGCAATAAAAATATTTTTAAAAATATTAAAATAGTAGTTAAAAACAATTGATTAACAATTAACAATTGATTAATCAATTAACAATTGATTGGCAATGCTATGGAAGCATTCGTGACATCGAATCATAACCATCGAGGTAGTGCAGAAACTGCATTCATTAGATGAACCCTATGTCAAGGAAAAGGTCTCTCCACTATTGTTCATCTTTCACAACAATAAGCAATATATGTTCCTGAAAGTATTTATAATTTTTTTAAAGTTGTGAATATTGTGCGTCGCTCCAGTTCATTCCGATGGATTTTTTTTTTGTCAAGAGCAACTTGAGAAACTGCAAGTTGCTTCTGGTGTGAGAGAATTGATGTTGCCCAGGGGATGCCCAGATGTTTTGATGTTTAAACATCCTGTGGGAGGAATCTCTCATGTCCCTGCATGGGGAGCTGGAGCTGACAGATGGGAGCTCACTCTGCTCCCCAGATGCGAACCTTTGATCTATCAGTCTTCAGTCCTGCTGGCACAAGGGTTTAACACATTTCTTTGGGTATTTTGTTTCTTCCTAGATACCATAAGCAGAAGCAAACTTCCCTCAGCCAGGATCTCACATTGAATGAGAACCTCAAAAACGATAACATGAAACTTCAAAAGGTGAGACAATGCCTCCAGCTGCCGTTTGGCATGATAAATATTTGCCCAATGAAGAAAGACAGTAATTGGCAGCATTGTTTTCCCGTCTTCAGGTGGACTTTATCTGGATTAACCGAGACCAAACATCCTTTGAGTGGTTTTTAAAGCTCCTGATGCAACTGGAACACAGCCAGGCCGAAGGAGACCCTAGTGGTAGGTGACCAGTTGGCTCTGCCTTTATGTTGCCATTCCCAAAGTAGCGCAATTCTATAGCATGCATTCATTTCAATAGGTTAGGAGCCCCCGGTGGCGCAGTGGATTAAACCCTTGTGCCAGCAGGACTGAAGACTGACAGGTCGGAGGTTCGAATCCGGGGAGAGTGCAGATGAGCTCCCTCTGTCAGCTCCAGCTCCCCATTTGGGGATATGAGAGAAGCCTCCCACAAGGATGGGAAAACATCAAAATATCCGGGCATCCCCTGGGCAACGTCCTTGCAGACGGCCATTTCTCTCAAGTCGCTCCTGACACGAAGAAAATAGACTGCACCATGATTCACATTTCCATGCTAAGTCCAGAAACATATGCCATGTGGATATGGGGGTTGTATCGTATGTTAACTTCTTTTTCCTGCTTATTAACCTCCTGCCCACTGGTGGTGCAGCAGGTTAAACTGCTGAGTTGCTGAACATAATAATAATAATGATAATAATAATAATAATAATAATAATAATAATAATAATAATAATATAAACTTTATTTATACCCCGCTACCATCTTCCCAAGGGACTCAGTGCGGCTTACATGAGGCCAAGCCCAAAATACATCAATAAGCAAAACAGAACGTAATAATAATAATAATAATAATAATAATAATAATAATAATAACTTTATTTATACCCCACTACCATCTTCCCAAGGGACTCAGTGCGGCTTACATGAGGCCAAGTCCAAAATACATCAATAAGCAAAACATCAATAACACAACATCAGTAAAACAATCAATAAAATCAAATCATATAAATCACATGAACAGAAAATAAACAATAAAAAATCAACAGTGACATATAAACATTTTAAAATGGATGGACCAAATGTAATAGATTAAAATTGAAAATATGCTGATGTGAACAAGGTAAGATATAACTGGGATAGACAGAACCCCTATCACCAATAGAAAATACTGGAAGGATTTGGTGGTCACTGACCTTGAGTTTTGGAGTTGTAGTTCACCTACATCCAGAGAGCACTGTGGACTCAAACCATGATGGATCTGGACCAAACTTGGCACAGAAACTCAATATGCTCAAATGTGAAGACATGTGGGGCTTGGGGAAAATAAACCTTGACATTTCTGAGTTATAGTTGCTAGGATTTATAGTTAACCTCCAATCAAAGAGCATTCTTAATTCCACCAACGATAGAATTGGGCCAAACATCCCACACAGAATTCCCATGACCAACAGAAAATACTGGAATGGTTTGCTGGACATTGACCTTGAGATTTGGAACTGTAGTTCACCTCCATCCAGAGAGCACTGTGGACTCAAACAATGATGGATTTGGACCAAACTTGGCACAAATACTTGTTATGTCCAACTGTGAACACTGGTGGGGTTTGGGGAAAATAAACCTTGACATTTGGGAGTTATACTTGGTAGGATTTATAGTTAACCTCCAATCAAAGAGCATTCTGAACTCCACCAACGATAGAATTGGGCCAGGTTGAGAAACGCTGTTCTAGCAACACTTTCTTCTGATATTTTGCCTGCATCTGTGCCTGGCATCTTCAGAGGATCCTTTGAAGATGCCAATCGTACATGCAGGCAAAACATCAGGAGAAAATGCTGCAATAACATGGCCCTACAGCCTGGAAACCACACAACATTCAATTCCTGCAAGAATTCTGATATGTTCTTCTGACACCCAGACCGCTTCCTGGAGATGCACCTCTACATGACCTCGGCCCTCAACAGGAATGACATGAAGGCCATTGGTTTGCAGCTGGCCTTGGACCTGCTTGCCGAAAAGGAGAAAAAAGACTCCATCACAGGCCTGAAGACAAGGACCCAGCCTGGACGCCCAAATTGGAACAAGGTGGGCTCCCAAAAAGTTGTCTACTTGCATTCCCCCTCCCCCAACACCTTAAGATTGTATAGTTTCGACCTCTGCTTGAAGACCGCCAGAGAAGGAGATTCCAACATACCTCGAGACAGAAGTCCATTCCACTGTGAGGCGGTTCTCGCCATCAGGAAGTTCTTCCTAATGTTTAGGTGGAATCCTTTTTCCTGAGGTTTGCATCCATTACTCCATTGTGTCCTGATCTTTGAAGCAGCAGAAGACAACACAGCTCCATATGCATTTATATAGCATGCTGCCAGATATTTGAAATTCTTCTTTTCTCCAAGCTAAATAATACTTTAAGTCAGGGTTCCTCAAACTTTTTAAACAGAGGGCCAGGTCACAGTCCCTCAAAACTGTTGGAGGGCTGGATTATAATTTGAAAAAAGCATGAATGAATTCTTATGCCCACTGCACATATTTTATTTGTAGTGCAAAAGACACTTAAAAACAATACAATAATTAAAATGAAGAACAGTTTTAACAAATATATAAACTTATTAGTATTTCAATGGGAAGTGTGGGTCCGCGGGGGTCTTTCTTTAGAAGCTTGAGATTCCCAGCAACTGAGACTACTACAGGTTTTGAACATCAAAACAGAATATTTATTTCTCAAAGTCCTTGCAGACTTGGCACAGCTTGGCAAAGTTACAAACAAAACAGTCATTTGGTGAAACCACAGAGATGTTCTTTCTTTTCTTTTTCCTGTAGTCGCTGAGCTGCCTTCATCCAAATGGTAAAAAAAATCCTGAGATCTTTTTACCCCAACCCTGAGCCACTATCTTTTAGAAAGCGTAGGCCTTCCCTATTCCAGCCCAAGGTTGGTTTTGGAGATGAAGCAAATAGTGCTCAGTAACTATTTCTCAATAACTCAATATCTATCTATAACTCAATCGCTCAATTGCTAGTCTATCTATCTGTCTCAATTAGCTTCTTTATCTATATAACTCAATCTCAATCTTTCTACCTAGTTCTCAATCTCAGTCTATAGTATCTCAATCTCAATATTCCTACCTAGTTCTCAATCGTTCTTACAATGGTTTTTCAGAGTTACCTGCCTGACCAACAGCACATCTGAAGCTTTCTTTCTCTACTGAAGG